GAAGAGAAGGAGGAAGACTAGAGAGATAGTTCAGTGGAAGAGCACACACCCCTGGGTTCAATCCTCAGCACCGCCAAAAGGGGAAAAAAAAAAAAAACAATTGAACTCAGGCATCATCTCTTCCAACAAAGCTTCTCTGTTCCCATAGGGTGGGTTAGACTCCTTTCTTCAAAGTTCCCTATGTATTCTTCCTCTTATGTCAGCATTTGCCAAGTTACAGTGGAAGTGTTTATGTTTCTACAGTCCCTTACCCTACTAGACTGTAAGTTTTAGGAAATCAGGAATGCCTTTAAAAGGGGGAGGGGGTAGATCCAGAAAACATTTCTTTAATCATCTGTTTGGTTCAGGATCTTGCTACACAGTCAGACACATAGCTGTTATCCTGTCTCAGCCTCCTCAGCACTGGGATTACAGGTGTGCGCCACCACGCTAAGTTTCAGTGTATCAGCACTTGGCACAGCATGCAGTACTGGGGATCAAACTGAGTCCTTGCACTTGCGAGCTATCTCCTCGGCCCTAGAGCACATTTCTTAGCCTCTTGGGAAGTAAACCATTGCCTACCACTGTGTGATAACCAAGGAACTATAAAACTGTGTTCTGTGCAGTGTTCTTTTTAGTTATTTCCCAACAAGACTACAAATACTTCTTTGGTCAGAAATTCTCTTTTATTCCTTCATCCATGGAGCCAGACACAGGAGAGCTTCATGTAGGTGTGGGGGAAGTATCTGCGTGGCTGATGCATAACTTGCCCCAAACTCCCTCTACCTTAGAAGAACTGGTGGTCTATGCATTGGAAGCAAAGATTTTGATTTCAGTTAGCTATGTGAAGAGAGAATGTCACTTTAAGGCTGGCTTTGTTTAATTTGATACAACTCTACCTATGTGCCTGGAACACACAATTTCTGGGCACAGAAGGCAGTTTTCTTAGTGTTGGTTTTCTGAAACATTTTTGAGGAAAAGAAAAGGCTGATGAAAGTCCTCTTTCTAGGACCCAACTGCCCAAACGTGCAACTCTCGCAGGTGTTAATATAAAGAGCTCCTTGCGGTCAGGCTCTGCTGGTTCCCTGTTCCTATTTGCATCTTGTGCTCCTACAGGAATAGTATAGCTGAACACAAACAGTACTGCCACAGCAGGCCCTACATCACCTCAGCAATTTTTCTGTACAGCAAGTTATAAACCAACAGCCAGGGTCCCTCAAGAGTGATAAAGCTGGGCGAGGGAGATGGCTCAGTGGAATAAGTGCTTCGCTGGCAAGCGCAAGGGTCTGAGTTCAATCCCTGGTTCCGAAGGAAAAAAAAAAAAAAGATAAAGCTAACTAAAACCCAAGAACCACTCTAATGTGAGTGGCCTTATTGGTTCTGGAAGTATTAGATGCTTTTATTCCCCAAGCAATTTCTTTTTACATCAGCCTCCCTCCCCCTCATCTGTGACAGAGGGAACTGAGGAGCATAGGTGCACATGTATACCTAAAAAAAATACATTGGAGTGGCGCATGAAACAACAGCTGTTGCTCTGGGCAGGTACAAAACTCCAATATACCTCCTTAAAAGTCGAATTTGGCTTTTGGACTGAAGTCATACTAGACGTGTTAGCTCCCCATCCATGATCAAACAATGCTATTGATAAGCCTTGATGGTGGTACACTGGGCTGTTTGGCCCTGAGGTATTTGCTTTATGGCACAGAGATCATACTCTGTAAGCAACTGTTTTTCTAACCTGGTCACATAGCAATTTGGACAGCCAAAGAATACTGCAGAGACCAGTTAATGCCAAAGAGGAACTGGCATGGTAGCAGAAACTCAATCACACAGACAGAAAATGGGTCAGTACATTCTGACTCACTGAGTATTCAAAAACCACATTCAAGTGACTAAAAATCACTGGACTCCAAGGGAAGAGCTACTTTTTAGGAGGTTGTGGGAGAGAAAACTGATAAGGCTCTACCACTCAAGGACATCTTACCCTTTGCATGTTATCTGCTCTGGTGACTCACTCATGAGTTTAAAGTCGACTGTGAAGGTTCTCACAACGTATGTGCTGCCTGGTTCAACATGGGAAGGTGCCTGCTTTGAGCAGATACGGGGTTTCTAAGGACCAGCTATATAGAATAGTGAATTACAGTTAAACAAAGTGGCACACACCTGTGATCCCAGCATTTGGGAGGCTGAAGTAGGAGGATTGATGTGAGTTCAAGACCAGCCTGGGCTACAATGTGAGCTCAAGGCCAGTGTGAACTGCATAGCAAGCCCCTGCAAAGAAGAAGAAAAAAGAAGAAAGAAGAAAGAAGAAAGAAGAAAGAAGGAAGAAGGAAGAAGGAAGAAGGGAGGAGGAGGAGGAGGAGGAGGAGGAG